ATCCACCGATTGATTGATGTATGTATTCACACATTCATAAATTCATTCCTTCTTGCATGTGTTCATTCATTTATTCAATTTCTTAGTGAAACGAAATACGAATAAAGCCCTCTCAAGCCATGTATTATCTACTTCAATCCATAACCTTCTCAAACGAGAAAATATTCACTAAACTAGCCAAGACACAGAACAAATAAAAGGAACMAGTCAGTTTGAATTGAAAAGCACCTTCTGTAAGTAAACATCTTTTTTTGCTTACATTTATTTGAAAATATATATCTTCCCCGCCGTAGCGCGCAGTCTACAAATCCTCTTTATTTATTCATGAGATTTTTTAACAAAAAAAAAAGCTCAATGAATGAATGGATAAATATTTTAGAGAGCAATAGAACCTTCTAGACTGTGATGGCCGTTGGTAAAAATCTAAAGACACGTAGTTGAAAAATTATATGAGTAAGTATTTTTATGTTTTGGTGAGATAAGCCATGAAAAACCTACCAAATATCACCTCACTACGATAAGACGTCAAACAAAGAACTCGACGYTTTAATTCTCAGCGATTTTCTATCACTTGGATGATTCCTAGGCTAATTTCTTTAAGAATTTCCTACCTAATTTTTCACTGTAAATCATCCCAAAACGTTTTCTTTTTTTGAAATCGCCGATTCCAGATAAGACCATAATTATACACAAAAGTAAGAAATGATTTTTCGGTGAGATATGCAGATAGATAACTTACAAAGAATTTGAATTTTAAGCATTCGAAAGTCGAACGGCTCCTACAGCTTTCCAAATTACCTAGAAGTCAATTAACGACCGTGTGAGGTCTGAGCGGAAAAGCTTGAAAGAGACAGAAACAGCACGATTTCTAAACTCCTCAGTAAATGAACACTACTCAGTAAATGAACACTCGTGGTGAAGTCAACGCTCGTGTAGAGATGACGGTGTGTCCGTTTTGTGTACCGATATAAAAATACGACCAATGATATTTTATAGTTTCTTACCGCACGCAGGATCGTATCTTCACCGAATGCTCTTGTGTATACCCCAAAGTAGTTATTTTCAGTACAGGTCCATTTACTTGTTACTAAGATCGCATTAAACAGTCCAAAAATAAATTAGAATCTTACCTCAGTCGACGCGAGTCYCTGAAGGTCGAGTAGGGTAATACACTAGGAGTGGGTTCATTATATCTTGAGATAATCAGGGTCATGTTTATTAACCAATCATTGTATGACTGTGTCACGTGGCTGGGACCAGCTAATAGTATTAAGTTTATAGRATCTTTCGATCTCTTTGATTAAACTTTTTTCCCCTTGGCGTCCGGTCGGTAATCAAATATATTAAACTGGTGTTTCTGGGTTTAGTTGATTCATTGGAAATTATKTCTTTCTAGCGCTCGCGGGTTTCTTGAGACAACACGGGTGACGCAGCCGGCGATGAAAGCGCCTGCCTCGCCATTGAAAGCCAAAAGCGATTTTTGAACTCGGTGTCGTATATGAGTAGCCGGTTCCTTGTTATTTCCTTCCTGGCCTTTGAGGGTTTTTCTCCGAATTGTCCTATTTTCCTTTCTCCTCCACGTTGAAAAGTCAATATTTCTGAATTCTCATTGGATTCAAAAAACACTGCTTGTGGGCGAATTTGATTTTCTAATTCGTCTCGATCTTTAGTCTTTCTGAACTTCCTCGTAAACAAGTATAGTTAAACAACGTTTTYCTTCTTGAGATGTGAAATGCGAAATGCCTGCGGCTTTTTTCCTTGATATTCTTAATAGTCGTAAACTAATTTTTGAAATAATTTTTAGCGAAATGTGAATTAAATCGGCTTTGTCGTTCTTAACAACGTGTTGTCTTTGTATATTTCCGTGAAGAAGAAGTAAAGGAACCTCTTTTTTTTACGTGAGACGATCGTTATCCAAACTCCCAATTTACCGCCCTCTTTATGCGAGAGAGTATATATTTCTAGAGGCCTGACTGTAGCCGTTGATTACGCTATTGTTAAGTTATCGGAGTAAACAATCAACAGAGCCGAGTTTTCTGGGTTTTGAGTACTGAGGGAGGCGACGGCGTGGGAGAACTCCTAAGAAGGGTAATTAGTTTCTATAGTTGATAAACTGATATCGTAAAATCTGTAAAATATACTCTGTCCTTCGGGCCTCTGTTCTGAAGTGACGAAGTGTACCCTAAATCGCTAAGCGATTCCCTTTCTTCATCTAGTCCCTTATCTTTTTGGCAAACCAGTCTTTTCGGAATTCAGTGCCCAAGATCATGGCGATATTGATGTTCAAATTCTCAATTCACTCAAAAACTATCTTCTAAATAATAATACAAACAAACTAGTGACCTATTATGAATCCAGTAGTCTAATTGGCTAGCTGCTGTAGGCCTATTAATGATAGCGCACTAGGGGAAGGAAGCAAAGYAAAATAAATATGGCGTTTGCTGAGGTTTAGGCAAACCTTTTTTATGTACAGATTTCCCTTATCTTCTATCGTTATCCGGCAACCATGTTTATTGCTAGCAATTTGTATTCGTAGGCCGCGCTCTAGTCAATGAGCCTCCATTCCTCTGCGTCTCATGAGCTATTCGGATAATAATTGTCAAAAAATATCGATTAATTTGTTCGTTTTCGCTTCCTCCATTGCTAGCCTCTTGCAGYCATTCAGTCGACATTTTCTGCCAGTGTAGTATATTAACCCTCAATTTTTCTCTATATTGTAAGCTACCGTGATTTGCCCCGTTAAAGACCTATATGTATTCATTCTTATCCAACGTGTAAATTGTATTAGTTCTAATAACGACGGTACAACACTGTCTGGTACCAWCGCACTATCTCGTATGATATGTACTTACATGGTAAAAAATGCGAGCACGGTGCCATCGTCATCACCATTATAATGATAACAAGTTCCTTTAAGCTTGTTTTTTAGAGTTTTCTGTTCATCAGCTTGCTCCTTAGCTTGAAAAGAATATAAATCTTCGAATAAAGAAGACAAATTACGGGTATGTTAGAAATATTTGAATGCGAGGTTTAGATCATGGGCAAAAARGGCAATACAAAGCCCTAAATCCGTMAGAGATCAGGTTAAACTTCTACGTATTTTMGTTCAGATAACCTTTGAGAATTACAATCCCTGACCAGGATTTTGTGAWTATTTTTCATCGATTCTGCACCCATCAGTTTAATCAAGTATTTTATCTCCCTAAGCTTATTACACGTCTGTAAATGAATAAGAAGATAAGTTTTGGAAGCAAATCTCCTGACTTTATAGACAATGTATATCCTATTTACTTGATGCCGCCCAGCGATTACCTCATTCCTTCAGTTACGTCTGAAGTTTTTGTGTATAAAAGATTCGAAAATAATGAATATTTTCCAGCAAGATTAATTCCCTGTGTACCCACTGTCGTCAGCAAGATTAGATCAATAAAACTGTATTTGAACAGGGGTTTAAATTTAATTCCAGCATGGCCAAAACAATTGGAAAATTTATGAAAAAGTCTGCTTTGTTTGTCTGGCTTGAAATAGGTTTAATTAGAATGGAAGTTCCTTTGGGATTTTCATCCAAATTAAAAGAGATTTTTAAATCTTGTGCAAATCGTTTAAATCTTTTGATCCCAAAGCGCTCAGTAAAGCAATGATTATACTTTGTGTTTTTTCTTTTTTTTCGTGTTCAAGGTGAATTCAAATGTATTCTAAGTAAATAGTATAGAATTTTGGTATCAAAGAGCTAGGTTAAAAGACGAATAGGATAAGAAACTTGTTAAGCTCTTTTGTGAAGTGTGGCTATTAACCTAAGACGATTCGTTTCGTGAATTTGTATGTCTGTTCATTGTTCGTTAAAGAATGGCCGAGGACGACGACGCAAAGAAAAAAGGTTGGAAGGAATTGAAGAAGGAAGAAAGAAAGAAAG